TAAGCCACGGGCCGGCCCTGCTGAGTTCTTTCTATACTTAAAGCATGAGCTTGCCCCTAATGGGGGTTGGGAGTCAGAAGGAAACACACCTAAAGGCAAAAAACACTGGACCTACCGTTAAGCAGGACATAATCTACTTCTCCATGTCCTTTGAGACTGAGTTCAGACACCACCTCCTCTAGGAAGCCTCCTCTGCACTCCTCATTCTGGGCTGGACGGCACTCCTTTGCTACCACCTGTGCTTCCACCTGGCAGATAGCTTATTGCACCTATCTTCTATGGGTCTCCATCCTCACTGGACTAGGAATGTTAATCGTCTCTTTCACTTGCTAGTGCTAAGCACAGGGTCTGGTCCACAATAAGCACTCAAATGTCTGGAGAAGGAATGAATGGTAAGTTCTCACACGTATCCACAGTGCTTTCATCATCCATTGCTTTGAACGGCCTTGGCAAAGGACTCTTCATCCCAGCTCTGGTTCCCTCCTCCTTGTCCAGCGTCTCCATCCTGTCTACTCCCGTTGGCTACCATCTTGGACCAGCAGGCTGACCTGACCAGACCTTCACTTTCAGGTGGCTCTGAGTGGTTTTCCTCTTTCCATCATCAAACCCCCTCATCTTCTGTCCCATTCTCAGTCGGACTGCTCTTTGCTGGGTGAAAAAAGGGAATCAAATAAGAGAATCCATATTAATGGAAGTTAATGTTACCTCTCCCGTCTACAATATTTTCATGTTAGCAGTAATATTTTATGGACAACATCTTCACACTGTGATTCTCAAGCAGGGCACAGAAGGGTGCCAGCGACACTACAAGCCATAGACTCGTAAACAATGCACAACCTGGAGGTCTGGGAAAATAATTTTATATGAAGACAAAAACTGGATATTTTAGGGGAATATCAAGTTAGCATAAAATTACAAGGTTAGAATGAGACCTTGAAGGCCCTAGGTCCCAGGGGGTACAAGTTTATTCCCATTGGTGTTGGGACGAGTTCTGGGGAAAGGTTTAGGAAGCACTAATGATGTTCACGTCAGGCTATAGACTGGTCCTTCAAATCACATATTGAAGACTGGTGACCATACATAAACAACGGGCAGGGCTTGTCTTGGGCAGCTCACAGCCAATCCCGGTGTGCTCAGTAGGTTCTTAGATAAGTGTGTCATTTGCAGGTTAACCATTCACCCCTGGGTGGCATCATCCATCTGGCCATCCATCCATCCATCCAACATCCACCATCAGCTCATCATTGCTCTAGGTGCAGGGAGAATAATGGTGAACAAGTTAAGCAGTTTCCATTCTCAAGGAACTCACAATCTGGCAGTGAAAATGCATTAAAAGAAGAGTTATATTATCAAACACATTATTAGAAGAGAAGTATTCTGGAAAGGAGCATAGTGTTCTGGCTGCTGGGGAAGCGGTCATTTGTCACTGATCACATTCTCCTTAGAATAGTCTCTGCCACCCTGGAAAACCACTTATTTTTATTTTCAGTCTTCAAATTAATTTTTAAATAAAGGTTTATCTCCCCCATCCCATGGGATTCTGAATACTTTGCATGTTCAGAAAGAATGAGGTACAATTCAGGAATTTATTATGAAAAATTTCTGGGAATATAGGTATATATAAATTATGAAGGTGTATTTGATATTTCAAAGATGCTAAACATACTAATTTTCCATTTTTCTTCTGTAGTTGTAATCTATTTTTGAGAATTAAATAAACATATATTATTGGTACCTGCTTTAGTAAATCTGTACCTCACAATATCATTTTTAGAATAAAAGTCTGGGAGCTGGCCTTGTGGTGTAGCAGTTAACTTCGCGTGCTCCACTTTGGCAGCCCGGGTTTTGCAGGTTCGGATCCCGGGCGTGAACCTACATATCGCTCATCAAGCCATGCTGTGGCAGCGTCCCACATACAAAAAGAAGATTGGCAATAGATGTTAGCTCAGTGCCAATCTTCCTCACCAAAAAAAAAAAAAAAATTTGTTTGAGTTCCCTTTTTCCCCCCCAAATTATTTCCTTCCTTCTTTCTTTTCTTCCTTCCTCCTTTCCTTCCTTTTCTCTTTCTCTCTCTTCCCCCCTCCCTTTTTTCCTTCCAGCAAATATTTTGGACAGTTTAATTGAATTCCAACGGTATTATATATAATGGTAAGAAAGCCAACAAAAGCCATCTAAACCTATTAAAATACCTTTCAGGAACAAATTGACCAAATATCATTTTATCCAAATACAGCTTGTTAGGAAATGTTTATCCTGTCAAGTGAGGTTCTCTCATGCTGAGCCATGACAAAAGAACAGATGACATCCCTTACACGGTGGGCTGCAGCATAATTCTCTGTGTACTGCTGAAAACCTTACCTTCTTTCAAGACTCATGAACCATTCCAATTAATACGGTATACATTCTTAAGGTCCCACAGGAAATCTCAGATAAAATTTTACAGCTCCAGTGCTGATAGAAAAATCCTCTGGTGCCAAGATTTAGCCACAGGAGGGCTCCTGTCTTTCTCAAGGCAGGTAAACACCCTCTGGCACTTGTCAGGAAATCTTCAGTAGTGTGGCTGTATTTGAAGGATTATGAATACCCCCAACTTTTCTCGTGGATCTGCCTGGTTCCCCACACACCTTTCTTTGCCATGACCAAGGCACAGACAATTGCATAATTTGCTTTGTCTACACTCTGATGCTCTAACACATGGGAGGCCCTGCATCTACTACGGCTCTCTGGTCCTCCCAGCCCATCAGTGCATGGTGAACCAAGTGGCCTCAGAGGAGAGTGCGAGCTCAGTGAGCATGGGTGAACAGAAATCATTTTGTCACGTATACCAGGTCTGAGCTTGGTCAAGTTGTATTCTTTAGCAGGTTTCCTATTTGATTTTAAGAAGGTAAAAAGAAACAGTTTATTAGGAAGGCTCCCTAGGCAACATAGCAATGCCAGATGCCAGCTCTCCTAAGAGAACAGAGCAAGTACTTATTCATTACAGATCACTAAAGACAAAAAATATTTCACCATTATTTGCCTCTAAGGTGCCTTAGATACTTTTCTAAGATACTTTTCTTTCTTTTTTTTTTTTTTTTAAAAGTTTTTTTTTTTTTTTTCCCCCCCCCCCCCAAAGCCCCAGTAGATAGTTGTATGTCATAGCTGCACATCCTTCTAGTTGCTGTATGTGGGACACGGCCTCAGCATGGCCGGAGAAGCGGTGCGTCGGTGCGTGCCCGGGATCCGAACCCGGGTCGCCAGCAGCGGAGCGCACGCACTTAACCGCTAAGCCACGGGGCCGGCCCTACTTTTCTTTCTTAACAAGAGAACTTTCTGGTCAGTGAATTCAGTTTATACACCTCAAACTTCTACAACTTGTGAGGGAGAGGGGCTTCTTAGGCAGTGTTGGGACTCCCTGGAGCCGATGTTTCATTTGCCTGGACTGGTCTACACAGCACTCTCTCGACAGCACATTAGTTTCTTGGAAGAAAAAACCCAAAACATCTCTGATTTCTTTGTATTTATAACTATTCTTTTACTTTTTTCTGAAACCCTACTCTAAGTGTTCCAGAACAGTCCCAGCGAGCTGCATTTCATAAGAGTACCTTTGAGTTAACTTAAGTTCTTAGTTTTGCTTCATATAAGAGAATCCACAATGAACTCAATTGATGAATTAAAGGCTATACCTTGGTTTGAAGAGACTACGTTTTTTCTTAAAGCATCTCCATTTAAAGAGATTTAGATTGTTATGACTGTCAGATTGTTATGACTTTTTCAGGTTTTTTTGAACAACCAAGACAAAAATATAAACAAAAATCCTCCAGAGAATATTTGCAAATTATCCAACCTAGTGGGATGTGAAGAATAAAAATAGTTATCTTTAGGGGCTGGCCTGGTGGTGTAGTGGTTAAGTTCGGCATGCTCCACTTTGGCGGCCCGGCTTTGCGGGTTTGGATACTAGGTATGGACCTACACCACTCATCAAGCCATGCTGTGGTGGCAACCCACATACAAAATAAAAGAAGACTGGCAGAGATGTTAGCTCAGGGCCAGTCTTCCTCAAGCAAAAAAAAAAAAAAAAAAGCACACACATACACACAAAACCAGTTATCTTTAAAAATATCTAGAATGTGTTCAATTGCCCAGTAATGTAATAATAATTGTATGTAATAATATCTTTAAAATTTTATCAATTTATCAATTGTATTAATACCAAAAACAATACCATAATGACTAGGTTAACCAGAAAATCCCTTTGTTTCACCTTTCATTTTTTTTAAATATTGGAAATCCTTTCTAAACATAGAGGTTATTTCAGCAAGAAAACTGTTCTTGTATGATTCCACATGACAGTGGTGATCTTAGAATCACAGGATCTTAGATCTGTAGGAACCAACAGCAAATCCTTACCCAACGCCCTCATTTCTACAGACAGGACCTGAAAGCAAGAGATGCCAAGGTTCTGTAGCTGACCGAGCGCAGAGCCAGGACTAACAGTTAGCCTGGTCTACCCACTGCCCCTTCCACCACGCCAGGCTGTTTCCTGCTTAGTAACTTCATTACAGAGGTGGAAGGACACTGGGAAGTATATATACTGACTCTAGGACAAGAAAGATTCTTCTTGTAATTGTCTCTTTCTCCTACAAGTGGGACACAGAAAATTCCAGTTAGAGAAAATGTCTGCTAAATTAAAATGTTAAAGCATGCCTCACCTTGCTCACAATCCTCTGAATTAGCTAGACAATAGCCTGGCCTTTCAGGGGATAAAACAAACAAACAAACAAAAAACCATTCCAGGTGTTCTGTATGTTTCTGTCACTTGAAATCATTGCACAATGGTTAAATTCACCAGGTGACTCTTGACCACCTGGTGTGGGGACAGATATGTCACTTGAGTACTTTCCATGATTTAAACAAATGAACAAAAAAAAATTCAAATGTAAAATGCTCTCTTTTTAATTACTAAATTAAGAAAGTTAAACAATTTAAAAATGTAAACTCACAAATAAATCATAACAAAAAAGGAATTAAGACTTCAGAGTTGCTACTCAGTATTAAAAACCCAATAGAAATAGGCTTTTTGATTTGTTGTTGTTAAACATACGTAATTCAAGGCTGGTACAAACAGCAACTGAAAATGTAATACTTTTTTTTTTTTGTGCATCCCCATGAGATGTAAAGTAGTGCATAGTTATTCCACTGGAGAACTCTTGGACATAGAGAAAGTCATTTCATTAGCAGTACAGGACATTTAAAACACTTATTTTACAATGGGAAATGTACAACCCCCACCCTCACCCTCCCGTAAGTTTTAGTTGCATGAGAAAGTTTAGCAGGTTGCCATGACTACAATGCTATGGGTTTTAGACCATTTAAATGTGGTTACAAGGTTTATTAAATAAAAAAAGTCTGAAACATTTCAGCATTTGTATTTTTATACAAGAAGTTTGTGTGGTATCCATTTTCCAGTTCCCCTGGTGGTATTGGCCGTTTGCTTGCTTAAATACGCTCACTTTTAGGTCTCAAGAACAAATTGCAGTTTATGTAGAAGCAAATACTGGAAACAGAACTTGTGAATTCAGCTTGGGGCCTGATGAGGGGTCAAAGTAACAGCCATCTACAGGTACAGTCATGAACCAAAAAAGTGCAATCCAAATTAAAAATATAAACCAAGAATCATGCTTTGCAAAAGCCAAAAATGAGGCCACTGGTTTTCAGAATAACACCAGTGCTTTTACGCTGATTTTGCAGTAAAATCCTCACTCTGGTTTCTGAAGCTTTGTGGCCCACGTTGGCCACGGTCTCCACGTTAGCACCCACATGGTGTATGTACAGGGACGTATATATTATATATATTCATATTTATAAAAAAGAAAAAACCAAACACCTGTCCTGATTGGTTTTTGTTAAAACATGAAAAAAAATTTTATTGTTTTAGACAAAGAGGCCACTTTTGGAAAATAATACTTTTTTTTTAGTTGAATCAGGTGAAGACAGAGTTAAAATCACATAGGATTTGCATTTTAAAAAAAGGAAAGCACTAGGATCGTTGGCACTGGAGTAACTATTTACACGGAACAGAGGTTTGGCCTTTTACATAACATCGATACAATGCATTTTCCAAAGTCTGAGAAATAACAAGGTTCTGTCTCGTATGCTTCACAGAGGAGGTTCGGATTTGGGGACAAGTGTCATTAATGAGGGCCATGGAAGTTCGTCAGCTTCAGAGTCACATGCAATCTGATCCTGGACGGTTCTCGCTGCTCTGCTCGGAGCAGCTGGCTACGGAATTGGAAGCTAATGGGGAGGGGGCGGGGAAGCCTCGGGCCGAGGCCTCTCTCTGCAGACCCAGGTCTTACAGGTTTTCACCAGGCTGATACTGGGGCTCTGTGGCGGTGAAGTAGTCTTCCAGGAAGCCCTGCAAGTACTCGAAAGTGGGCCGTTCTTCGGGGTCCTTTTTCCAGCAGTGGATCATGAGCTCGTGGAGAGAGATGGGGCAGTCCTGCGGACAGGGCATCCTGTAGCCGCGCTCCACCTGCTCCAGCACCTCCCGGTTGTTCATGCCTGCAAAGACAAGGCCGGTGAGAGCGGGCACCTCCGGCCGCCAGGCCCTGACCACCGCCTGGGGCTCCCCTGTCTTCTGCTTAGAGCCTGTACGTGGTTAAAACATGTTGAGGGCCCCTACCTCCCCCAGAGTGGAACCCTGCCTTAAACGGGACACCGCACCGCTCAGAAATAAAAAAGAAATGTGCTACTGATGCGGGGAAAAACGCGGATGATTATTCTCAAAAGAGTTCTAAGTGATAGAAGCCAGACACAAAAGGCAACATACAGTATGATTTCATTTATATGAAGTTCTAGAAAAGGCAGAACTACAGTGATAGAAAGCAGATCACCGGTTGCCAGGGGTGAGGCGAGGGGAACGCCTGCGGGGGCCGCAGGGAACAGCGAGGGTGATGGAAATGCTCCGTATCAGGGTCGGCAAACTCTTCCTGTCAAGGCCAGAGCGAAGATATTTTAGGTTTTGCGGGTTGCATACTCCCTGTTACCTATTCTTCATTTTTTTTTTTTTTTTTTTTACAACCCTTTAAAAATGTACAAAACAAGAACAGGGTGGGAGCTGGGTTTGGTCCACAGGCCGTAGTCTGCCAACCCCTGTCCTACATCCTGAATGTGGGGGTGTGACTCTTTATGTTCGTCAAAACTCACTGAATGCTTAAAATTGTTGAATTCTATTGTATGTAAGTTACACTTCAATTAAGCTGACAAAAAATATGAATGAAGCTGACAAAAAGAATCCATGGAATGAAAAACACTATCCCTTGTTTATAGCATCTATAAGCTCTGCTGATGAATTACATAAGTTAGTTTTCCTCACGCCTGGGCAAGCTGTTGGTGCTCCACTGTTCGAGACCTGTCATCATGCCACCATGGCTGGGCACCGTCTAGCCCAGTGACCCCCAGGTACCCTGAGGTTTGGTAACTCTGACAGGCAGACAGGGCGTCTCCAGGGCCTGTGTTTACTGAGGATCTAGGACAGGCCATTTATCAGTTGAGACCTTTGTGACCCTCTGGGGGAGCTGCCTCATGTTGGAACATCAGGCTGCGCAGCACTAACAGGAGACACTTAGGGAGATTGCCAGCCCCGGAGAGAACGCAGCCTGCCTGCACATTCGCCTTCTTGACAGAACAGGAAATACCACACTTGGGGTGAGGCGAATGCCCTGACCCCTTTCCCAATCGCTGCCAGGCACCATTCTCCAGTTTTCTTTCCCTTTTTTGCCATATCACGTTCTGCTATCACCCGCCAAGCCCTTCTATGTTTTTGCTGCTTCTTGGCCCCAAGCCTGTAATCTGGAAACCTCCCCAACTGCTGAACGGGTTAATTTATAAAAGCAAGAACCTGGGTTCGAGCCCTGCAGAAGCCTAGATAGATATCCTCCCCTTGCCCTCAGGGGTGTATCCAGCAGGAGAATACGGCAGATGCATGCAGCAGCTCCCTTTAGTTCTGGAGGAGGTGGCAACCCGCTAGAACCCTGTCAGCCTGGCCAGAGGAGCCAGGTTCAGAGCACAACCCCGTCACCCTAGGGAGGGGACACTCACATTTTGGGATCTGTTGCCAATTCTCCTTGTTTTGTTGTTACTTTTGTTTTTTTTGTGAGGAAGATCAGCCCTGAGCTAAGATCCATGCCAATCCTCCTCTTTTTGCTGAGGAAGACTGGCTCTGAGCTAACATCTGTGCCCATCTTCCTCCACTTTATGTGGGACGCTGCCACAGCGTGGCCCGACAAGTGGTGCGTCGGTGCACGCCCGGGATCCAAACCCCGGGCCGCCACAGCGGAGCGCACGCACTTAACTGCTATGCCACGGGCCTGGCTCCTGTTGTTACTTTTGGAGCTGGGTTTGTCCTGGCTCCTTGGCTGTCAACCATGGTCCTGTCAGTCACACACTGGTCCAAACTCTTTGCGGATGCTTTCTTAGTCTCTGCCATTATTATTTCTCAAGGTGATGAAATCCATATGCTATTCCTGCTGGGGTGAAGTAGGCCTTCAATTTAATTATTCTAACATAACCTCGCCCACATTTCGGGGGTGATCCTTATTTTAGGGAGTGGGGTTTGGTAAATGAGTCTAGGTCCCCTCTCCAGTTCGGTGTTCAGTCAGCTCTGTGGCTAATTAGCTTAAATTCTCCTCCAACTGCTGAAAACGCATTTTAAAAACTTAGGATGGAGCGAGGAGCTGGAAGCAAAGGACGGAACCTGGAGCTGCCAGGAGAATGTCCTGCAGTGCTCTGGACAAACAGCGAGGGACAGAGGCCAGCCCTGCCTTATCCACAGTTCTCAAAGCCAATATGCTCTAACACCAGTTCTGGTAACTCATTTGGCAGCAAAACTGATCCGAACTGACCTCATTTGGCCATAAAACCTGACCTGGGTGTGAAGCTATTGACTGTTTTTATTTATTCCTGCATATTGCTGCACAAGTAAGAATGTGCTGCTCTCGACTCTCCTAGGGTGTTATATAAGGTATGGTCTATGCACTGCATGGAGTTTCTAAAAAAAAAAGTCTGATCCTGGAAGCACATCGAGTCCCAAGAGTTTTGGCTGGGAAGCCCTGGCCTGAGTGACAGCAGCCACCACACTGCAGCCAGCCCAGAAAGGTTAGGAAGAGAGCGTAATCACACACCAGGACTGGCATTTGCCAAAGAGTGTGCTTTGTATTTTAGTACTGTCCTTGGTTTCCCAATATCTCAGAAGACACATGGCCTGAACCTGCTGAAATCCCCCTTGTCCCTGCCCCGGCCAGGAGCCTGTAGGAACTGGAGGAAAGACAGGCAGAAGGTCTGAAGCTCAGAAGGTCTGACAGCCCCTTCTGGAGGTTACAACCCCCCAAAACCAACTTCTAATGCTTTATTCTGGTACTGAGACTCTGTCCAAAATGGCGCCACAGAGTTTAATTAATCATTCTTCTATTGCTCTGTGGAGCTTATGTCAGTAAATGTTTCATTTCATCAAAAAACAAACTGCTCAGGGGCCGGCCGCGTGGCTTAGCGGTCAAGTGCATGCGCTCCACTACTGGCGGCCCGGGTGCAGATCCTGGGCGCACACCGATGCACTGCTTCTCCGGCCATGCTGAGGCGGCGTCCCACATACAGCAACTAGAAGGATGTGCAACTATGACATAAAACTATCTACTGGGGCTTTGGGGGA